GCCGTTTGTATAAAACTATATATATTTATGTATAACTCAGAAAATAATGCAGATGTGGTAAATGAGAGTAGGTAATCTTCTGGACAGGGTGCTTAAGCAGTTTTCTGTTAGCAAAGACGTTTCTATCATTTTCAGTCGTCGTGCCATTTTCTTGAGCATTATGAGAATTATGAGTTTTCCATCGCTCCTGCTGATGGTATTTAAGTCATTCTTTGCAGGATTGTGTGAAATTAAGGTTGAATGCAATACGTACAATGAAGTTTACTATAAAGCTATGCTATTTAAAGGCTTCAGACATGTTGAAACGTATTTTGTACAGTTGAATACATCAGTTTTTGCTAACTTATTCTGTGTGTGCGTGTGTGTGCGTGCCTTTCCAAATCATGTCCAATCGACTGGTCGACTGCAGTCAAGTTGTAGAAACGATGTTCTAGAGCAAACAAAACCTTAGTTTGGCCTAATACCCTCATACTTGGGTGTCAGGCATGTCCAAGTAGGAGGAAATCCTGGGACAGACCCAGGACATGCTGGATAAATATGCACCTTGGTTAGTTGAAGAAGAATAACCTTGTTAACCTTATGCACAGGTTGCCTGGTGGGAGACAAACTTTCTCCAAACAGTCACGGTGACTGACTGGAATCGCTCTCTGATTTGTGACTGTTTGCAAGTAATTGCTGTCTACTTTAAAAACAGATTGATTCCCAGTATGTTGGCAATCAGTCTGAGTTAGTTTGCACCAATAAGCACAACCTTTTGGCAACTTATACCAATAACATCTATAATCACAAACTGATCGTAGCTGCCAGCTTGACCCTATTAACTTGCAAACTGAAGAGACTGATCGCTGCCTAAGTAAGAACAAGTCAAAAAAACTCGCCAACTGCTGCAGGGCTCTTCCACTGCACTGCAAATAAATACCCGGGAATCCCCGAACCTAAAAAACAAGTCTTGCTAGCCTTTAAATAAAACTACCATAACCTGAATGACTGGCAACCTACACAGATACAGTGAGAGGTAAATCTTCTGGGAAGTTTGGAGTTTAAACCAATCTTAAACTCATCACCAGCTGCTGTTTTTAACCATGATGAGTTTTATAGTCTGTGAGAACAAGATTCAAACTCCTAGTCAGACTAATTCATATGAAACATGCGTTACATTTGTAACATCGAATGATGTTTTCTTAGAGCTGGCCTGCTTGTGCTGTGAGTGACTGCTGCTCATGGCCTGAACGCCGCTTAATGCACACATTACACAGTAAAACCACACGGATTTCTTTAAGGCACTCGCAAGAATCAGAGCAGAAGTAACAAAGGTTGAGATTTTATTTTCACCTTTGCCACCTTGAGGGCACTTTTGTTCTCCTTTTGGTTAAATGAATGTTTAAAAATTGGTTGTTAGTCAAGTGTATTCGGACTTATTTTCTCTTTACCAGCTACATGAGTTTGTAAGTTTCTTGCTTGTCTAAGATCATAAAGTAACCATGCATCTTTGTAGTATTTATTTTTAATTAATACCAACAAATAATATACTTTAAATTCTGCACATAATGCACCACACAGCTATTTGTGGTTGCATGTACTGGTAGTGTACCAATGCCTAAAAGCTGTAAAGAGCTTTAACATTTTCATAACCTGCTGGTTTTCATAAGCTGATAGATTTAGTATCACACCTGCTGCAGTATTGCTTTTTCCAACCTCAGTGTTGCATAATAAACAGATCACCAGCACAGTCAAAGAGAGAATACCTACATGTGGTTTTATGTGGTATTTGGAGCCACAGCAGAAAGGCTGAAACATTTATCGAAATTAATCACCAGTCAAATTCTGTTAAATATCCTTGCATTTAAAAAAAATCCATCCCTTCCCTCCTGGCTTCTCTCTCTCTGTCTCCAGTGTACCTGTTCTTGGGTCTGATGATGATGTACCTCTTGCTACGCACCTTCCACAAGATGTCTGATGTGCATGGCCTGACTACCATGCTACAGCTGCCTCGCTGTGAAGATTCTGACCCGGATGAGGACAGAGAGCCCATCGTGGATCACGGCGAGAGTCCCCAGAGGCAGACAGAAAAGGGTGCCAGCAATCACCTTGAGCCGGGATCACAGGTGTCCTACAACACCATCAACAGGGGCTGAGCTGTGAGGACGGAGAGAAAAGGGAAAGAAGCTCCATCTCTCACAAATCCTTACGTCTTGAACCACTGATGGAACATGAGGACTTGGTGGGCTGATTCTGAATTCTTTTCTTTTTTTTCCTTCTTCTTGTTTATTTTCTTCCTTTTCAACTCATTTAAAAAAATCCATTGGAGGAAACATTAAGGAGGATTGAGATGAGTTTCAGGATTGAGTATTTGAGAAATAGAGGGCCACCAAAGAGTTTAGGAGTGGGTATTGCACCTCGTGTTGCACACAGGGACAGATTCTCCCAACCAGGGCTAAAAGGAAAACATCTCCCTCTGACACACCAGTGTAACTGTGCTGTTTACAGTCAGGATTGCACATGATGGGCTTCGGCCTAAAACTTCTGATACAGTTTAGTTGTTGTTGTTGTTTTTGGGGTTTTTTTACCTTTTTTGTTTCCTCTTTGGTCTTCTTGCTTTTCTGCGACAGGTTTGTCTCACTGACAAACAAATATTGTCTTTAATGTATTTGTGCTGAAGCTGAATATTTTACATTTTTATGTGGGTGCATTCATTGTTTATCTCCTTATTCTTCTTCCTGGTCAAAACACCTCCCACCTATTCATCCATCTATGTTCATAGCACTGTCAGACTTGAGCTAGTTTGAACCTTTCTATCTTTACACCACAAATGATCACAACTGCAATAAATTAAACTTATTAAAGCTTGAGATCATTACCTCAGATTGAGTATTTGAAGCAGCAGGAGCGTTAAGGGGAATCTTATTTAAGCAGACATTGTTTAAGTAGTCGTTTTTATGTGGGTAGGTCATGAAGAGCAAGGAAGCCACAGATGAGCAGTTTACCTCCTGCTTTATGCTGCTGCCCCCTAGCGTCTGCCTGTATGTAATGCAACATTGATAATTATGTCTTTAAATGTTCAACATAAGAATGGAGGGAGTGAACAAAGGATGAAGAAAAGAAAATGACACCAGATAAATAAAACTGAGCGTTTAATTGTGGTGAATAATTTTAAGAGAGAACCAAATTTTCAAACAAAAACCTGTCCACATCTGTGACTTCAAACATCTGGAATGGTGTCCATCAGAGAAACACTTGAAATGCACTTTAATAGTAAAACTGATGTGAACAGTAAAGTTAAAAGTAGTGAAGTTATCCGATACTGTAAAATAAGTTGTGTGTGTGTTGTAGTGTAGTAAAATGTAGCTTGTATTCACTATGAAAAGTTGTAAATTAAAGAAACTTTGTAATGTGTTGCCATGTTTGTCTTTTTATTCTTCAATTCACAGCATTTGTACCTTTTCAGAATCTTAAAATGTTACATATAAGAACTGTAGAAGTTACAAAAAAAACCCTCAAGTCATTATTTAAAGGATAACAACTGATTCTTATTTTGCCTTACTGTTACAAGGTTGGGTGCTACTAAATGAGGGTGATGTTTAAAAGCTTCACGTGTGTAACGGTGCAAGATTAATATGTGCAAATAATGAGCTAAAAGCTGTTTTGTGTTGTCTGCTGTTCAACCCTGTTTTTTAAGGGACAGCCAATCAAAAACCAAATCATCTGACTTAAGGTAGATGAGTTAAAGCAGGAGTGGGGAACTCCAGGCCTCAAGGGATGGTGGCCTGCAGGTGTTAGATGTGTCCTTAATCCAACACGGCTGATTTAAATGGCTAAATTACCTCCTCAACATGTCTTGAAGTGCTCCAGAGGCCTGGTAATCAACTAATCCTTTGATTCGGGTGTATTGACCCAGGATTATATCTAAAACCTGCAGGACACCAGCCCTTGAAGTCTGGAGTTCCGCCACCCTTGTGTTAAAGCAACTGAGCGTTTGCACCAAAGCCTAGAATAAGGTAAGTTTATTTTTGACCTGAGAGTCATGCAAAGCTATTTTAGTAAAGGTCAAAGTGGAAAATATGATGCTGGAAATGAAAATATCAGGTCTGCTTTAATGCCCAACTAGTTTCATTTCAACTGTTTCACTCAGAGTTTAAGTGAGAGCAAAGCCAAACATTGGATTTGTGCCAGTTTCCTTTTGGGTATAGTGTGTGTTTTACTGAAGTGTGTGAATGCATTAGAATCCATTTTAAGTTCAGTTACTGGTATGCTGAACTGGTAGTTGGCCAGCTTACATAATCTTATTTCCATGTGCATTCATGGGGCCACTTTGTACCGTAAACCTGCTCATCTGCTTGTTCATGCAAATATCAGCCAATCGCACGGCAGCAGCTCGATGCGTTAAGGCACGGGTGTCAAACTCCAGCCCTCGAGGGCTGGTGTCCTAAAACTTTTAAATGTGTCCCTGCTGCAACACACCTGAATAAAATTAGGTCTAGACTGTAGAGTCTTGACTGCATGCTGAGGTGGCAATTCGGGCATTTGATTCACATTACAGCAGCTCATGAGTGAATGAACATGGATAAAAGTACATTTTTCCAAACACTTATAGTTAGAGGTTGCCCCCTCAGCATGCAGTCAAGGTCTATAGTCTTACTAATGACCTAATTTATTCAGATGTGTTGCAGCAGGGACACATTTAAGTTTCAGGACACTGGCCCTCAAGGGCTGGAGTTCGATACCCTGCATCAAGGCATGTAGACGAGGTTATAGTGACCTGCTGAAGTTCAAGCATGAGAATATGGAACAAAAGATTCAAGAGACTTTGAATGTTGTGTGGTTGTTGGTGTCGGACATTTGCCTGCTAGTATCAACTGAGGGCATTTAAACACCACAGCCTGAGTATTGTCGCTTATGTCCAAACTGGTTTCTTTATGACAACAAGTTCCCTGCACTCTTACACAAGTTTAACATAAAAAAAACTCTGGTATGTGATGCACAAAGATAATGAAATTAGAGTCTTTTTTTTCTTTACACAGTTGCATATTTTATTACAAAACATCAGTACAGGTAAACAGGTTGTCAAAAATACACAGTATCTGGGCATTCTGCCCTACACTTTAAAACATCTTACAAATCTCTAAAGCGTAGAGGAAAAAAGTAAATAAAATAACTGCCATGACGGTATTTTAATATACCATTAGTAATATGTCAGTGTGATACGATAATAAATTACTCACTGTTGACAAAACGAGTCATTCATAAATATTTTGGAGTTGCAAGCCAGCTACTCAGAAAGGACGTATGCATAGAAAGCAACTTCAATACATAACCTGGATATAAAAATACAAAAACCAGCACTTGGGGTGCTTCCTCAAACATTTCATCCCGTCGGGTATTTTAGCAAAGTTGGTATAAATTCCTACATGTTCCTACAGTAACATCTAACAGAACTGAAAATGAACTTGTTCCCTGAAATGTCACCTTTTCTAAAATAAATACTGTTAGTTGAACAAACTTATGAATCCATATTATGACAAAACTGCCACAAAAGAAACCACTGAGAAAGTGAAGCCTGCTAAAACTGGCAGAAACTGACCTGATTCATGAACTGCTCACAGCGTGGAAGTCAGCACCATCTGGACTCAATCACCTGATCAATAATACATCTGAACAACAAAGTGCTGTTGCATAACGGCTGCAGATACCCGAGGTGACGTGACCAGTGGCTTTGGACTGTCACGCTTGAGTGGGTGAGGATGCTTTGTATATCATCACAGTACTGTAAAGGCTCTAAAACATCTTTTTAAAGGAAAAAAAGAAAAACTAAAATACAACAGTGCACAGAGCGGTTCACAACCACCATCTGTCACATCATTTCCTGAGCCACAGCTGCACTCAGGAAACTCTTCAGACGAGACTAATTCTGCTTTCACGCTTTTCAGTCTCTGCGTGAAACGCCAAAATCCACCAAACGCGGTAACTATTTTGTTAATGAACTAAATGCTGTTTCTGTGAACATCTTTTAGCCAATCCACCCGATCAATACTTTTGATGATAATCTTTGATTCCTGCCCATTTTTACTGTTTGAAATCCTGACATTAATAAAAAAAAGAGGTTAAGTGATTTCTCTACTGAAGATTTGACCTATAACATTAGTGTTTCAGCCATCCTCTCCATCCAATATCAGTCAAATCAAATCTCAGAGCTCACACTTTACATTTGTGGTAACAAGGAGTTGTCTCATGTGCTGCCCTGACAGTCAAATCGCTGCATGGATGAACACCAGTGCATGACTGAAAGCTGCCTTTTCTTACATCCACACTAACACTTTTTAAATGAAAATGATCTCCGTTCTGATTGTTTTAGCAGTTTTTATAAATCTCTCCAAACCAGTGGTTCTCAAACTTTTTATGGCATACCCCACTTCAGAAGCCAAAAAAAACCACCCCAATCCCTAACAAATAACAAAAGGGGGGGAAAAAAGTTGGATTTTACTTATACAAGGTGCATATCATCAGTGCAACAGCATCAAACGTATTCCTCCACCCAACAAAGGGGAAAAAAAACATCAGTTTCATTAGAATTTTTCACCCTGTTGTCAATGCCACGCCGTTTGAGAACCACTCGTCTAAACTAGCATGCTGACTGCTCAGGTAAACTGAGCAAGCCTGCGTCGGTGTAAAGAGAAAGAAGGCACACCGAGGACTAATGCAAATCTTAAAATGGTCCTTTAAAAGGAAAAAGATCTCCGTGCAGACACGCGTTTCTGACGCATTAGAAAACAAGCATGTCTGCCTGCTCCATCACCGCCGACCATTAAAAAAAATAATCCAAGCTCAGACTGCATTTTTAAAAACTCTCAGTGTTAGGCGTCTTCTATAGCGGTGTGATTGTTAGGTCCAAACACAGTTAAGGTTACAGTTTAAAACTAAATTGTATTAATGTGGATGTACCCAGAGCTTTACTGAAAACACAGTAGCTCACACATGCACTGCAGGCCTGAATGTCCTCAACATTAACTGGCAGAGCTGTGCTGAGACAGTGCACAGACCTTTACCTGTCCCCGCGGTTAAAGGCTGTGTAATGATCGACAGAGGACAGAGCAGACGGCAAGTGAAGGGTGTTCATGCACGCAAGCCATTTTTATAAACTCTACCAGAGTTTATGATAAAGATGCTCGAGCTAATTCCTTCCCCTCACAAGATTTTGATAAGAGACTGAAGCAGATGCTGGTGGAGAGTGAAGATGGGTACATCAGACTTGGATTGAGGGGGAGGGTTTATGCTTCTGCCCCCTCGGGATCATCATTAGACTGCGAAGTAATGTACAAACCATTAATTTGTACTTAAAATGGATTAAATCCATAATTGTTATTTTTCTCAGTGTTGTACAGACACCTTAAAGTCCAGTGAGGTGATTTCTTTCCTCCTCTTTTTTAACATTAGTCCAGCGACTTATTTGTCCTGTTTGCACATTTTTAAAAAAGCTTGTGCACACAGGATTTTAATAAAAGAAAGAAAGAACCTTTACAGGACTTTAGGAGCGCTGTAGTTTTGTGTAAAGGATAGCTGAATTTAAAAATTCATACACAAAAATAACAACATCAAAATTCTTAAATGAGGGCCACATTTCACAAAATGTTTTTTTAAACAAGTAGTCGCTCCACAGTTAACCCAAAGATACTGTTTTAAAGGCGGTCGACAGCTCTTAGGGGGCTTACAACAGTCACTATACATAATAAGTGTTGCCTTGTATTCATCATGCCAACTGGCCAATCAGAGCAGGCTGGGCATTTTGGGAGGTGGGTGTTATAGAGTGTGGTGAGAAAGGGGAGTGGGGGGAGAAAGGTGGCAGGTACATAAACAGGTCATCCCCAGCTGTGTGTCCACCTTCAGTGCTTCTGTGCCCAATCACTCCCATGTCTATGTCTACCAGGGATGTGTCTATATCCTGGAACAAGTCCTCCACAGTGAAATCCCCAAGGTAGCTGGACCTCATTACCTCCATGCTGCCGTCTTCCTGCTGCTCCCTGCAGTCACCGGGATCTCTGAGACCGTGATTTACCAAGGCCACGCTTCCCTCATAGGGCTTGGACATGTTCTCCAAGGGCCTGAGGGGTATCCGTGGAGGTGGCTGAGGATTCCCGTCTATAGTAGAGTCCAGTGCGGCAAGAATAGAGGAAATGACAGCTGAAAGAGATGAATCAGTATCAGTGGACATCGATCCCCAGTCCTCGTCATCCTCTATACTGATATGGAAATTTGATTCACTCGAGTAGTTTGTCTTTTCAGTAGAATTTGGTGAGTAATTTAAGGAAACCATGGGGCAGGTGGCCAGAGCTGAGCAGCTGTCAACCGTTACAGCAGAATGACGTTTTGCTGCAGCGGCAATACTTGCTGTCAGTGCAGATGAAGCAATACCTGGAGGTTCTGACACCTCCACGTTGACTGATGGTACCATAGACATCTGCAGGCTGATCTGCCGCAGGGTGTTGGCTATCAGGACGGACCGTCGCAGGCTGGGCTCACGTAGCTGCTGGGAGAACTGATACTTGTTGAGGGAAACTGTGAGCAGAAACTGCTGCTGGCTCTCCCAGGTGGGAGCTCTGTAGTCTGAAGCCTCCTCCTCTATGGATAGTTTGCGCTTCTGCCCCTTCGGCATCATCATCGTCATTAAGCTGCAAAATAAGGCACAAATGTTACTGGGTTGTAATAAATATATCACAGGTCATATTTTGTGGTTTTTACATTTAGAATCACTTGAATTCAAAAACTGAAGCTGCAAAAGAATAATATCAAAATGCTGCAACCACCAACAAAGTAATCGACCAGCATTCATCAATAAAAAAAGAACTACAGGATTTTGTTTTAGTTTGGGGGCTGTGGTAAGCATTTATTTATTATAATGTATTTTAAATTAAAAAAGGTACAATTGAGGACCAGATATATGGTCTAAGACAGTAAATATTTAGAGAAATTAGTAGGATTTTTGTGAAGATTGAATTTCACTAACAGAGACTATTTAGACCAGGGATGCCAAGTTCATTATGGTTGTGAGCCACGTTGATCTTAAATGGGCCGAGCCAGCGAAACTCTTCCTTCTGTAGAAGTGAAGATATTTAACTAGACGTTTAATGTAAGAAAAAGAAGTGACATTTCAACCAGCACGCCTCCCCTCAGCTTTTCTACATGACAAAGAAATGCTACTGTAGCAAATCTGTCAACACAAATAAATAAATGTGTCAAATTACAGAACATTTTCCAGTAGCTCACTGCTCATTCACATTTATTCACAGACTATTTCTATTTTCTCTCCCCATGAACCCACTGAGAAAAACAACTAATAATAATTTCAAAAGTAGACGGTGGGAAAAAAATCATTTTTTTAGTAATACTACACCATATACCAAAATAAATTTACACAATCTATCCCCACCCTCACATTTTCCAAAACCGGACATAGGCCAGATTGGAGTCTTGGCCAGGTCGATTCTGGCCCTCGGGCCTTATGTTTGAAAAAACAAAACAAAAAACAAACAAACTCAAACCAAAAGCCTGCGAAAGATCTGCTTAAATTCACCCCACTTTTAAAAAATGTGCCAGACAACAAAAGGTGTCATTTCTTGTTTACCGCAAAAATGATATTACAAACCAGATGATGCCCGAACGATGTTAAGATGCAAAACAGAGTGCAGTATCTCAGCCTCTCACCTTTATATTTACATATGGACATACAGAGTTTCTGTAACTAGCAGGGTTCAACATAACCACTGTCCCTGTCTTGATGTCCCCAGTAAAAAGTGTGTTGGCTGTTCACATCACCTCGGAAGCAAACCGACTAAATTAACCATATCCTTTATCAAAATATCTGCTGAGATAGTTTACTGTGCAAATCAAGAAGAAGCAAAAATTAAAGTTATCTGTATGCAGATAAACTCTTTAGTTTATAATATAGTTGTTATAAGATCATAAAATAAATCCTAAAAATGTGACTGATTTTTCTGTACCCTTTGCTGAAGGATAACAGCACAGGGGCAAGCCTAAAGAAAGCACTTACTCCAGTAAATGTATTTTAAAGCTTTAACTACTAATTTATTACAAAGTTCGATCTCAATACAAAAAAATTGCAAATAATTTATATTTAATTACTACAGTTAAATTACTAGTACATAAAATACATTTTGATTGTCAGGTATAACAATACAGGAGTCTAAAAATTCTGACTGGCTTCCTTTTTTAAGCTTTTTGTTTACCCCACAACTGATTTTACAAACCAGGTGATGCCTGTTAAGATGCAAAAAGTGGGGCAATTTTCGAAGAATCTCAGCCTTTCGCCTTTACATTTGACTACTGTAAAAATTCTAGGCCAGTGGAGAAAACTGCTGCATTAAACTAGACAATTCATTTTTATAATCCAAACAACTTATCTAGGTGTAAAACAGCTTTTCAAACCATGTCTCAGTCTTGTGTGGGAATCGCCACACCACCAAATTGCAGTCTTTTAGTAAAAATGCTAATTAATGAGACGATCCGTAACACTACACCCCTGGATAAAGTTTGGAAACACATGGATTTTTAAAATAACAGTTAAAAGAATCTCAGGACCTGCCCTTGTAGAGCTCAGACTAAAATGGTGAGCCTGTAAATGAGCATAACAATGTGGGTACTTTAAATGGAGAGTGGGGGTTGTAACTCTGGTTTCACCGCGTAGGAGGGAAACAGTCTCGCCCGAGGCCATCGGGTAAAAATACAAATTAATTCGACTTACAGTCGAAATAATCGACTGAACGGAGTTAAAACCGATCTTAATTAGCCCACCAAACAATAAGTTCGCGATCAAACACATGTGGGAAGTAAGAGTTGTTTTAAGCAAACCAACCTGTTGAATCACTTCCCGTCTCTCCGCCGTGAGTTTAGTCGTCAATGCTTTTGCTGCCTTCGCTTCGACCTGAACTGGCAAATTTACCCTTAAGTTTTACTCGGTTCATTCATAAATAAGTTAACGATTAAACATCGATTTAAAACTCTTGTTCTAATTTAAAAATCCCCAAACGCTCTTACGTCGTTAGCTTCAAGTCTGCCTTCGCCTTCTCCCGCCCGTGATTTGAGTTTCATACCAAGAGGTTCAGAGTTGGGGGTTGGCTATAGGAAGGCATTGTGGGTAATGGAGTTTTTATACGTTACATTCCACCAGAGTAGTTTCCATGTACGAAACGCATTAAATACACGCTAAACGAGCTGTACGGCTAATATATTCTAAAGTTTACATTTATTAAACTTGGAAATAGTGTAAATTAACCCCTGCTGCAATTACCAGTTTGTTTAAATTCTTATTATATAATATTCTTTGCACTAATTCCTAAATGATTACATCACCAAGTGAAGTTGGATTCCAGTCCTTATACTGGCTTTAGTACAGACTCTTTTATTAAAAGAAGAAGAAAACTGGAATAATACTTGCTGAATAAACTTACAATTCAGCGAGTTCTAATTCATCTGTGTTTTAAGTTAAATGCTAGACTTTCAAGATTGAAATGATTCCAGTAGATTGATTTTATATCCAATTCAGAATTTTAAAATGTATACACATAAATGTCTACACATTTCTGAGCATGGCACTGAAAAATCAAAACAAGAAAGAATAAACGAAAAGGAAAATACGTATGGATCCCACATGTACCTGTCATACACAGCAAAGGTCATTTTAAGCCCAGTAAAATTAATTAGTTTGAATCAGTCTTCTTCAAAGCAGATGAGAGTTATTTACCTGAAAGCGACCGTCAGTGAAGGCCCCACTCTACTGCCCCAGATCACGAGCGTTTATGTTTTTATGGTTTCGATTTTAATTGTAACACCCGACTTTCAGTCACATGAAGAACCGGATAGTCAACTTTAAAAGGACAGCTGTAGCTGCTCCTCTGCTTCTGCACTGAGAAGCATGACGTGCTCGAAATATAAAGTAAGTTCCGGTTGTGGCTTTCAAAATAAAACCAAAGTCCTCCCCCCTGTCAAGCCTAATCATAACTCTACACACTGAAAATATGCAGTTCTGTTATTTGTTCTCCCTAGTCTCGGGTAAAGTTTGGGGATTAAAAAAAAATCTATGTATGTATTTGATTCTCTCCAAAATAAAGGGTCAGGGTGGGGGAGTGGCTGGGGTCATCGTCAAAGATTACTTAAGACCTCATAGTGTTAAAAAAAAAAAAAAATCAATGGATAGTATATATCAAGTTTCAAAGTGATCACTTACAGTTTTCAGTTAATAAGAAATTAAATTATATTAAAGTCCTGCTAGAAATGTCTTCCCACTTGGCAGCCATCCTTGAATCCTTGCAGGCAGTTACTTTTTAAGTATTGTTTGTAATTCACAGGTTATAATCCAGGAGTATTAAAGTGGGATTCTTTGAATCCCAAGTCCCTTCTTTTTATAATCTAATGTGCCTGAATATAACCTTTGCATTATAAATGTCAATGAGTGGAACTGCTGTGCGCTGTAAAATGTGTGAAACTAGAAACGGTGTAAAAAGGCGTATTCACGCCTCACTTTTTTTTTTTTTTTTTTTTTTTTTTTTTTTAAACACCCAGTTTATTTTTGAAGTGAAAAGATTTCCTTATTTGTGCAGCCTCTTCACGGTGAATTTGGTACAGCTTGGTCAGAGAACTGTGCAAAATCTAGATATGCTTGGTTGTCTTTTCTGCAGGACACACACAAGGGAGACTGTAACCATTTCGGCTTAAAATACACCCTACCACTTCACCCGCTCGAACATGAGTCGAGGAGTGGAAAACAGATTTAGTTCTCTTTTAAATGTGAAAATGTGGTAAAGTTCAACACAACTTTTAGTACAGTAAAGTCTTTTATTTTTAGGACAATGGTGAGAACAGTAAGACTCATCTCATGATGTAATGATTGAAATGCAGAAGAAGAAAGAAGCAATTAAAGAGCTGAAGTAACACTACAGGTTTGGCACTTGTTTTTTTGAAAAAAAGATGACCATATATGCAGCTAATAATGAAAGAAAATATAAGAAAGGAACACCAAGCAAAAGATGCTAAATCATAATTACAAAAGGGAATAGAAAAGACTGAAGCAAGGACAAAAAAACCCCCACACATTAGCAGTTCAACACAAAACTCTTCCCTTCATTCATCGCTCAACATCAATAACAGGAAGTGATTTTAAACGGGGCATAAGCAGTGTGCACTACAGGACTATTTGTACTCTCCGCACACTCCAACAGTCTTGCTGTCCCACTCCGACGTGGAGAGACACTTGACGAAGAAATGTCCCAGATCGTGTTTAGAGATGGCTCTTCCCTTTAGCATGTTCTCTGTCACCACGTAATTCTCTGTCAGAGGAAGGTCACCTGGAGATGAGGGCAGAACAAAACATTTAATTTAAGAGAATGTATGAACGCTCTCCTGATTTGCAGCAGAGACGCTGCACTCATTTTAGACCACGACCCACATACTGTCCCATTCTATCTCAAATGGGCTTGAAGAGCAAAACCGCTAAGTAACAGCCGGATGAACAAACTCGAAAATCTTCCCTTCATTGAGTGTAAATGAGTACAAGTCCATTCTGACGATATTTACTTTAACCATTGATTTAGAAAAGAGATTATGAGCAGTCTGACATGTGTGTAGAAAAGTAACTCCTTTCCTTAATCGTCTCACTTCGTTGTAGTAGGCAAGGCCACGATTAAAGACACCTTTTGTAAAACCCGTCTGCAAAATTCAGTACAAGAATTCACCACAAGAGGGCAGCATTTAACAAGGAAGTTTTGGTATAATTGTGCTGCCAACCTAGTATTATATTTTTATGTACAGACAGATGAGTTATAAGTTTTAACATAAAGGTTAAAATTATATTGAACTATACCAGAAACTGTTTTTCTGGACTTTCTTTTTAGCTGGTTTCAATTTTTTCCAGATTGAATAAAGCTGAAAAATGGACCTTTGCAACCAAAACTCTTGGCTTCCTCTTACTACTGACCTCCAATGTGAGGAGGCATGACAGCCACATAGTCCAGCCCTGATGTCTTCAGCACGGTGTACATCCTGTCGTGGTCCTCCGTCACAGGAACCAGACGTGGCGGCACTTTAGAGCGATCCCACAGAAGGAAGGCTGGGAAGAAAAGAGATGAGAAAAATGATTGATTGTACAGACTTCGATGAGCTCTTCAACTTCCTTTTTTTTAACGCAGCGAGGCATACCTGACATGCAGCCGATCACTTTGCGGATTCCACGCGCCTTCATAGCTTCCACTATGTTCTTTGTGCCCTCAGACATCATGGTAGTTGGGCCTAATGAATACAAGTTAGATTAGAGATATTACACACACACACACACACACACACACACACACACACACACATACACACACACACACACAACTGCAGAACAGTACTTGATTGTTGTTTTGCTTCATTCCTACAGATGCTCCACTGGGTAAAAGTAAATCCAGTGTTTTAGAGAGCACCATAAATGTAAACTCAAATCTCTATTATGTGCTTTAGTGACTTAACTGATGATTTAAAAGATCAATAACGTGAGTTAATTGATCTTATAAGTTAATATTAATTTAAAATTTAAAAGAAATTGGTGGGAAATTAGTCAATTAAATGTTGTTTATGTGATTGTTCGGCTTGTCTGTCCGTTAGCAGGATTACCCAAAGGTCGTAGATAGATTTGCATGAAAATTGTTCCCAGAGGTGGGCTTTGGTCCAAATTTGAAGTGATACAATATTTTGGCTTGATGCACATCTGCATCCAGGGATATTTGAAAGACTTCTTTACCGATGTGAAATAGGAAATAGTAAAAAGTTGAGAAACACTATCTTGATGAATATATCAAAAAGTAATCCAGAGCCAAACATCCCCTGGATCCAAGGACTCAGTTCATGCATGTTGTGGAGGAAATGTTCAGCCCTGGAGGGGAGAGACTTCTCCAGTTTTTATAGAGTTAGTAGTTTCTATACAGTCCTTAATTTATTAAATTATTCAATAAGCTATGCATATGTTATTTAGTTTTATGCTATAATTCTCATTCATCTCTATACTGTGTCTTTTCGATTATGTCAAACTGACCCAATGTCACGTTTTACATGTAATAAGAATGCTTTGGTGACCTCTAGTGAGTGTTTTACATCATTACATCACTGAAATATATAGTCTTTCTCCTGAAAGGTGAACATGTAAGTAAGGAAACTGAATTTTAAGATTCAGTGACTGCATGCAATTACAATTACTATGAATACATGAAACCACATAAACTTAAATCCATGCAGTTCCATTGGTATTAATTTAAGCATTGAAATAAGTCCTCTTGAGTTCAGGTAGGCTGGCGATATGATTGCAAGAGTGCATTTTGATTTAATGTCTTATTATATTTGCTTGTATGTGCAATTCTTCAGCCTTACTGAGGTCATTCCTGGTGCCTAAGATGATAATAACAGCATCCTGGCCCTCCAACGTCTTCTTTACATCGTCTTTCTTGAGCACATCTCCCACCACCACTCTGGATGCCTTGTGGTCATCAGGCAGCTTGGCGGGGTCACGCACCAGCACCGTCACATTGTATCCTAAAAAAAAAAAGAGAGAGAAAAAAACCCCATGGAAATTAAACTAAACTTCGACCATAAACACCTAATTATGAAACACTTTCACTTATAGCATACTGTGCTTTTTGTTTTGTATTGAAGTCATTGGTTTCTGTGCATGTTGCAGGATCTTACAGTCATGGAAATGTGTTGTTTTTATCAAAGGAACAGGGACTTGTCTTGGTGACACAATGACAACAGATCATCTCACCTGGGTGCCAACCAGCACACTCAAGATGTCACTTTCTCCTGTTTGGTTACTGTGCAGAAACTGCTAGCAACAAACTGCTTCAGAAGCTTTTGTTGCTTGTACTGTTTTTTAATGTGTTCCTATGTAATTTTGTAGTTTTTAGCAGTATTCTAGTCTTCCCTGTACTTTTAATTTAATTTGTTTAATTGGTGCTATACAAATGCAGGTTGACTGGTGACTCTGTGACAGCTTCAGGAGAGATCCCACCCTTTACTGTGGGGGCAAGATAGCAAACAGCTTTTTACTATCAGCTCTCTGTGTCACAAACTGCCGTGACTCAGCAAAACGCTGCCTGTGCCGTTAAACATGAGTCGACTTTTTTTGCCATGGGTGAGCAAAAGGAAAGGAAATAGAAATGTTGCTAAATCGAATGAATCATATGACACAGTGTGTTTGTGTAAGGGATTTTGTGAGAGGAGCAGTGGGTTATTGCAGCTGTACTTCTAATGGGGGTTACAGAAAGTTAGAGCAGAGAGTGACATTCATCGGGGATTACAGTTTACAGTTTACAAATCAGGCCTTGAAATGTGTTCATTCAGTTCATTCAACCCTTTAAAAAAATTAACAAAACTTGACCAAATACATGTGATATAAAAAAAATAATTATGTCATAAATATTCATGCGAAACTTCTGATTTTAACAGGCTGAGGAACATTTCTACCAGCTTTTTGTGAAACTGTTACAGTTAAGATGTGGTTATTACGCAAGGGAATCCCGTGACCTCATGTTTATCACCCTATTGTGACCTCCACAGGTGGACGTGTAACTACCCTGTTACAGGTGCACGAGGACGCTCAGAAAACAGTCTGAAGCATCAAAGTTTGTTTTGCCTGTGCGGAAAACTCCAACTTTAACTCCAACAGTAACAATGCATGAAAAGCCTACTGAAACCCACCTGAGAGACCCCAGTGTGACTCCCGCACGGTTACACAAATACATGATCTCTTCTATTTCGTCTGTAACTTATTTTTATTACTCTTATTCCTCACCTGCAGCTACTGCTATCGGCAGGGTCGCCAGCCCGGTCATTCCCGTGGCTCCAAATATCGCGACGTTTTTAATGGAGTCCGACATCGTTCTTAATAAGCGGGATCCACGAGACAGCAACACCTGGTCAGCTGAAGAGTGTCCGGAGTAGGAGATGCATTCACTTAAAAATACATCTGGCCTTTAACGAAACGCCTCTTTGGCTTGACAGGAAGGCACTTCCGCATCTTAGACTCCGCCTATATGGAGAGTTAAAGGAGCCGTTCAGCTCCTGTGCGTCACTCCAGGGCAGGAATAGCAACCACTACCATGAAAGAGACATTTTTAAAATGTTTTTAGATAAAGATAAAGATTTACAAAATATATTCGATCTTAAAATGAAGGTGAGACAGTTCATTACGTATAAATTAGCCAATCAGAATCACTAATAGGTGGAAGTATAATTCACATTTTTTTCCCACCTGTGACTCTGCAGTGAGCTATCTGTGTGAGCTATAGTTGATATACCTAGTTTGATTTATTCCTAATAGTTTTAGAAACCATGAAAGTTAAAGCTGGTGGTGGCAGAGTTAAAAAGTTTAAGATTTCTGTTGGAGGTTACCAGAATGAATACAATTAGAAATGAGTATATCAGAATGACTGTTCAGATTGGAAACAAAGTTAGGACATGAGCAGAGGAGGAATAGTGGATATACTGGACATAGGATAGGACAGGGAGGGTGAAAAGAGGAAGACCTCAGAGAATGTGTATGGATGTAGCAAAGGAGGACATGCAAAGAGTTTGAGTGTCAGGATGCAAGACACTAAATGAGATGGAGGTAGATGATCTGCTATGCTTTTCGAATCAATTACATTTTATTTATATTGCACCAAATCGCATTCAGTGCATCATGGGAATCACCCAGCATCCTAGACCCATTGCAGCATAACTAAGGGAGGATTCAAGTTCACCTGATCCAGCCCTAACTAACTTTATATAAAAGGAAAGTTTGAAGCCTAATCTTGAAAGAAGAGACAGTGTCTGTCTCCTGAATCCAAACTGGGAGCTGGTTCCATAGAGACGGACCTGAAAGCTGAAGGCTCTTCCTCCCATTCTACTTTTAAAATTCCCAGGAACCACAAGTAAGCCCTATGGGCTCTTTAAAACAAGATGGAGCCTGATTATGTGGTGACACTTAAAGAGAGCAAATGAAAAAAGGAAGAGGAACATTTTGCAGGTGTACTGCAACTCTTTTAATTTTTTTTATATGTAGCCTTCGTCACGCTTAAAAGACATGAAATAACGTCCTTATTTCATGTGACAATGTCTTAAAAAAAGGTTATTTGAAAAAAGAGAATAAAAGTTAAAAGGGAGTTTTAAAAAAGGAAAAATCAACAGCTAACTTGGACTTTCTTCCTAAATGTGTATTAATTAAAAATATTTACCAGTGTTTTCAGATAAGAATAAGAATATTGATCTCAAAGAGAAATTCGCATAGATGTATTATGTGCTGGTATTTCTAACTTTTGTGATATTTCTTTTTTGTTCTTCTTTAGCCTTTGAATCAATTTGCTGAAACGCGGCCTCTTGTGGTTATCCGTTAAAATTCGTCACCGTCAGCGTCTCTCTCTCTCTCTCCCGTTCTCTCTCTCTCTCTGCCATTGATGCTGATATTTCTCCTCAGCATCACCAGCGGAGAGGAGGAGGAGGAGGAGGAAGGAGAGGTTGTGTCAGGTGGAAACTGGGACCTCTATGGATATCACCATCACCCTCCACCGGCACTGAACCTCAGCATCTCCCGGCCGGCGGTCAGCGCTGCAGGCACGCAGCGCTCTTAACGTGCGCTAAGGCGCAGTTTTTGCACAGTGCACACCCCCCGCGGTGCTTCAGTAATTACCCAAACCAGCCGCTTCCTCGTGTAATAGGGACTAATCGAGGGAAAACCCTGCTGGAATAAAAGCGGAGCGTCAGTCTCCTCCATTGATAAACCGCGCTCCTCATCGATTCGAGCCAGCGACGTCTTGGTGGAGGAGGACGAAACCAAACCAAAAAACTGACACTGAGGCTAAAGGTAAGGCCGATAAAAACGCAAAAAGATGCTTCCTTTTCCCTTGGTTGTCGTCTCATTCCCCGTGTGAGAGCAAGGAGTCGAGATGCATGGGATTTTTTTCCTCCTTTTTTGCCGGGATGCCGGCCTGCATTTGGGTGCAGGGTACCGCAGTGATCCGGCAAAGGGACGGACCGTTTCGTGTCTTATTTCCACTTACATGTGTACGTGATGCATGCCTGGAAAGGTGCTTATGATGCCTGCTGGATCTGATTGTCTAATTTAAAAGGAGAAATGAGCTGAGAAACAGAAAGCGGCCTAGTTTTTTTGTGGGCTATGGTACGCGGTTGCATGTTTTAGCTTCTGTGTAACCTTTACTTTAAATTAGAGATCATTTATTTGGTTTCTAGCTACAGACTGCACACTGTACCCGTATGCACACTGCAGCAGAACTTCACAAGAATAAATATCGACAGTAATGCTCTATGCAGTATTTTAGTAGGAAGTTAAAATGTGCCTGTGGTCTCCTTATGTGACTTTACATTACTCTCGCTTTTCTGCACCTTTCTTCCCAAATCCTGGAGGGATTTTGCTGTCTTGGAAGGGGTGGTTGTAGATTGACTCAATTCATGCTTTAGTTTGACAAGGCCTGAAGCAGCATACACTGCTTCAGCAACACAAGTAGGAGATGCAGTGCAGCCTGTCTAATGTCTGTTTGATCACTGCTGCAAAAAAAGTGACTACAACTCCTGTTGTGCATGGAGACATGTCACGGGCCATTGTTTGTCCTTTCTGTCTTGATCTGAAGTTTGCATGCAGGTGGGAGTTAGTTGGTTATCTCTACTTTGTGACTGTACTGGAACAACATGAATAAAAGAAGAGGGAAGAAGTGAACAGAGGTATGCGGTTATCTGAATTCATTTAATCATTAATACCAAACTGCTAACGGTACTTACTGTAAGTTTTGTGACTTTTTTGGACCCATTTGAGCCCCTTACTCCAGTGTCTCTCAGTGGGTTTATGTTGCACACAGTACTGTGAACCTTTTCATACCACATGTGGTGCTCAGCAGGTTTCTATAACCTGAATCCATTGCATTTTGTGGTATTTCAGTTTGTCTTGAGTCACTCATGTAATACAAAAGTTTAACAGTTTGAACCCAGCTAGATCCCATTTCAAAGTGAACAAAACATGTGGTGGTAAGCAAGATTACTTCATGTATTTTAAATATTTAAAAACACTTTACCTTTAAAATGGCACAGGTTGTTCAGGTTTCTTCGGGGACTTGTTGGGGGATTGTTCCAATCATCCAAGAGGACTTATCGTGGTTCCTGTGTCTATTCCCGTAACCCTAGACTTCAGACTTCAGGGCTGGGATCAGCGACTGGGAGCACAACTTGTTCTTTTTGTGCTTGGCTGCATGTTTTGAGGACTTTGTTTGCTGCAGAGCAAGCTTGCTTCTACGTTTGTATTGCACGATGGAATCATATTTGAACACCATGTCTAAAATCTTTGCACAGCAGTGTGAATATTGTATACATTTATGGTGTTTCTCAGCTAGATAGAATTACTCTTCTTGTTGTCCCTGTCTTCTCTGGATGATCAACAGCATCTTTAGGATACTGAAGCTCTCTGCTGTTTATCAGACCACAAGGTCACTGTTTTAAGAGGCGTGTTCTTGTCGACTCAGAATTTGGGTGTGGTTGCTGCCCTTGCTTACAGATGCAGGTTCACTGTGCTGAGGTGAAGTGACTCAAAGTGACTCAGTGCAGTGTGTAAAGTGCGTACTGTGTGACGTCACAGTGAAGGATCTTGTGTGTGCGTGTGTGTGTGAGTGAGTGTGAAGGAGAAAAGGAGAGACAGCATCACTCCCTCAAAGAATGATCCAGATTCCATATATTTTGTCAGGTAATATCAGTGTGGATAAAGTTTGGGATTAAACCTGGGGTCATGTTTGGGTCAGAATGACAGTCAAACGTAAAGTTAGATTGGATTAAATATTCAATGTTCGGTTCACTGTTAAATGTTAATGTAAGAGCTGTAGAACATTATTGCTACACATTTGAGTTTGTACACAGATCAATAACAGAAACCTGACTGCAGCAAAAGGATGAAAATTGTACAGAAAATATGAAATTACAAGGGGAAATAAGGCTGAGTGTCAGCATTCTATCATTTGCAACCGTGCACTCACTGGCGGTTTTCCAGCAGAAAAATGTCCAAATGTAGCTGTAGCTATAAACTTTAAATTAACATTTACAAGCTATTGCACTGACTCTATAACTGCTATGTATCTGTTATAGTCACGAGGCAGCAAACATTTTTCCTGTTTGAAACAACACATGAATGCTCTGAAAGCTCACATGTCCCAGTTTTCCACCAGCACTTTAACACTCAGAGAGCATAAAAGATGGACGTAGCTTCCGGGTCTGAAAAGTGAAGCCAAATGTGAAAGTTCCTGCGTTCCTCTTGATTCCTGTGGCTGCAAAAAAACTTCCAGGTTTACAGAAAAAGGAAAACAAAAAAAAACTTACCTTAAACGTGACCTCTGTAAACATTTTTGCCATAGGGTTATGGGCTCAGTCGCTCATTTCAGGTTATAATAAGTAAAAGACGAAGTCCATTTTGTCAATTTTGGCTATTCTAGGTTTCAGAAAGGAGCGTCATGATTCACCCTTCGCACGTAGAAACACCAACAAATCCTCAAGTCGTAGCTTTCGACTTCACTAATGAATGGGTGGCATCATCTTTTAAATACAGTCTTTGCATGAAACAAGTAAACTGAGTTAGATCAATAGTAAAAACAAGAACATACAAACAGAAATATAAGACAATGACTCAACAATTCTACCAACGTGGAGATAAAGGACAAGAAATTCTTAATCTTTAAAGCACAGGTGAGTGCTATTATTTAATTTCAGGGTTATTGTAATAGTATTAAAAGACAGTAGTGTTTACAATAGGCATTTAAATCTAATCTGATCTTAAACGAGCCATCATTGTTGCTCCTGTACAGACAGCTGAATTAGTGCGATTTAGCTACTACAATTGGTAGAATTGAGTTCACTCTGTTCACATGTTCATGTTCAACATGAACATGCTCACATCTTGCTTCCTGTTGATTTGATGGCTGTGATCACACAGAAAATTGATTTTATTGGCAGTGGTTGATGGGATGTTCTTTCATACTGATAAAATAATGCTTGTAAAACTGTAAAAACGCTTTAACTTTGGCGTTTTTTGACAAAGTTATGTTTTAATGGAGAATAATGTGGCGTCTTGAACTTTTCTCGAACCCTCCAAAGTCTGACACTTAATCACTTAATCAATCTTTAGACGTTTTAGTAACCGAGCGTTCTCCTCACAATTGTCAATAGGCAGATGGGATATCAGCGAGCTAGGAGAGGCTGTGATTAATGTCCCCAAATGATGTGTATGTGACGATATTGATGAAGACTAAAGAAAAGAGGGGAGGGGGTGCACTGAGGGTCTGGTCCAGATTAAGCCTTAGAGACACAGAGCTGCTGCCGCTGACTGATTAACACTGGCAGCTGTCTCTCTTTCTTACTCGACTCATCTTTCTGGTGATATGCCCCTATATCTGTCTCAGATCAGTTTCTTTATTTTCCCACTGTCTTTCTATTTCACTTCTTTTTCCATATTTTCCTTCCTTTATCTCTCTAACATCTATATTCCACAATATCACACTTCATTTTCATCTTTCTAGTTTATTGTCTTCTCACCTCGTCTGGTTATATATTTGTCTCTCCCTCATTCTCTCTATCTCTAAATTTAACTTCTATATCAAAAGAGATGGACAGTCCTGCATCCGTGAGGTACTTTAAGCTATTCTTGGATCACTGGTGGAGTAATATAAAGAGAAGAAATTGCTGACTGGAGAATTCATCATTGCACGGGAGCCGTATTGATCCATACGCAAGATCTGAGGTAGTGTTTTAGTGGGAAGTTTATGAAGTTTCTGTCGACATGCTCTGTGGAAAATGTACCCATGTAAATTAATATTGCAGTTTTAATTTGTTCCACTATATATGTGTGTAGCAAATGCCTGATATAACTTAATCCCCCCTTCCAAAACTGTTAAAATCACAATGAGCCACATATTTGCAGTAGATGAACAAGAACACTATAGACATTTCTTTTTTTTTATCAACATCAGAATGGAGGAGAACATCATGAGCTATCATCCTATTTTATATGATCAGAGGAGTCACAGGCAGCTAGCTGGGTAAAACTGGCTTTGTTAAACTGCATTGTGGGTACATATTATATGACTGGTTGGTGCCCCTGTTACACATGCATTGGGAAAGATGGGAAAAAAGATAGTAAAAAAAGTATAATGGTATAAAAGAGAACAGTGGTGGGCAGTAGGTGCTAGAGCCATCCCTTATTTCTTTATGTCTTCCAAGGAAAATGGGAAATAAGTTGTCAGCTTTCTTGTCAGTTCTTTATGTTGTCTTTAGAAATAGTTCTCCTGGCTTCTGGAAGGACTTTTGTTCTGTTTTCTGTCAAGCTGATCTCACACTGCTTCAGTAATGTTAAAGATCAGTGCCTCCACCGAGTTTTACAGATGGCTGTAAAATTACACTCAAGACTCAACTAAGTGGTAAAGTTTAAAAAGTACAATGACATTTAAACTCTTGTCCTGGTTTTGGAATACGTGACTGAAACTGGAAGTAGACTTAATTAAACTTGTATATAATTTACAGACTAGTAATGATGGGATAAACATTCGACCCAGAGAAGCTCATGGGATCCATCAGCTCTTCTTTCAGCTCCACAGTCACACAGTTTATATTAGCACTCGTTCACGTTACCATCATTCTGTGGTCACTGCATGCTGTACATTACCATTGATGACGGAACTGCTTCAATGCAGCATTTCAGGGTTAAGTGTATGTTTCAAGGACACCGGGTGGTTAGCATTTAGACTATGGTCATTCTTTAGTTAGTTTAGAGGCATCAGTGTCAGATACTAATTGCCAAAACACAAGTTGTGGAAGCCA